AAAAAGAACATATCAAATATTATTGTTTAGTGTCAAGCACATTATAAAACAGGCAATGTGCGTCATCAGGGTAGCGTAGGTGTGATTTGATTGACAGCAGTGATATAAGCGATCAACCCACCTTATGTCTTGTTCCAAACGAAATCCCACATTTAAGCATTAATCTTACACATCTCTCTAATGGTCATTGTTTGATATTCTGGTATTTGGTTTGATCTCCTCTGATAGATTTGTGATTTTTCAAAAAGGCTCTTATTTTTATTAATCTTATTTTGGATTTGAACACAGAGCTGTCATAGTCTTTGGATTTCCATCTTTTAGTATCAACGGTGCCTTGCCATCACCTTCTACCAGCAGCTGTAGATATGCTCACTACCAGACCAACATGTCGTCACATAAACTATCAACTTCTGTGTAATTCAACAAACGCTCAAAGATTAAAACGATATGGCCGTCCCTAGAGCGCAGCACATGCAGCAGAGTTCATAAATCATGGAGGTCATTCTTGTTTCTGTTTGTTTTTTTAAAAGAAAAAACCAACAAGTTTTTTTAAATTTTTTTTTTATTTGCTAAAATTTCGACACACCAGCACCACCACAAATCTACTATTCTCTGGTCTTTTAGCGTGGTTACATCATCCACTCTCTTTTTATATAACCAGACCTCCGAACTGATTCGACATCTTTCAAAAACAGGTTCATACTCCATAATAACTGGGTTTTATTGAAGGGATGCGTTTTATTTTTAGCAAATTATTATTTTTCCCAGCTGAGCCTTGGCTGAACCTGGCACAACACAGCCAGTACAGGAAAGATTAAAATATCTCATGTGAAATAAACAGTTTTGTGCTGAGCTTTTTCAGTATGTATTCACAGAGGGCCACATTACTCATTTCAAGACGTTAAACCCAAAACTGTTTCTTAAATACCCCGTTTCGCATTAGCTTGACAAATTGTGCCACATTGGACACGTTGTGTATTCAATGCCCATTGAAATTAAAGGTTGAGTGTCATGATTGATTTATGTTATGCAACATTTAATAAATTGATCTCCTGACGTGCGAACGACATATTAGACCAAAAGGGGAGAAAGTATTGATTTCAGTATCCATCAGTGTTACAGCTGAGTTACTGCACACTATTTTGTCTACCGCTGCTTTAATTCAGTGAAATGCAAGAAAACAAACTCATACTTCCCACTAGGTTCTGCTGTCAGACTTTATGATGTAGGGCATATGTCAGCATTAAGCCTTCATTGGTGTTGATGCCCTCTATTGCCAAGTAAAAAGTGGTTTTATAACATCACCTGTATCAGCGGTTTATCAATACAAGAGTCTCACAGGCTTTCTAACAGAAAAAGGCTTTCCACGCCATATTAAAATTTGGGTCATGCATGTCAAATACGTCATAGTATTTGGCACCTCGACTACTGTGTATAAATAAAATGTCCTCACCCCATCTCCACTGACCTTTTAAATAAGCATTTTATTCTGTGAGGGAAAAAAAAACCCTGAAAATGAAGGAAGGCTGTAGTTTGGATGAAGTCTGAAGTTGAAGCGCTGGCACATGTTATTTACACCCTGCCCTCATCACGTTGGTGAGGCCACCTGCGTGTCCCAGTTTTACTTTTAAGCTTATGAAAACAATTCCTCAATTTAGAGCAGGGTATTTTGTGTTTATAGAACAAAGGCGTTTTCCAGTCATGTTGGCACAGAGGAGGTGTTAGAACGTTATATTATGCGATTGGTCTCATAATTAAGGTAATAAATCTGTACAGCTAACAGTGGAAGACAAAAGACGGGTAAAGGGATATTGTAATATGACACCCTTCCCTGTATGAGTTGTTACTTGGAGCCCGGGGAAGCAGGGATTAATGGAGTAATTAAACCTCTTGCGTTTGAGGTAGATTTAAGACTTGATCCACACGAGGTTGGTTTGTTTATTTAGAACGTGATTTGACTCCTGAATACTGAGTGGGCTGTTTGTGCTAATTTGTTTTTATGCATACATTTTCGATGCATAGAACAGATGCTTCCAACATATTTAGAGCACTTTAAAATGATGTTCCCTCCCCATTTTCATTTCCCTGTTAACTATTCAAGTGTTAATACCTCATTAGTGGTGCATTTCTGAGCCAAGGTCCTCAGCATTTCCCCGGCTGGTATATGTCCTGTGAGTCTTAATTATCAGAAGTCATCTCTAGTATATATTAGTAGCTGCCATTTTGTTCCTGCCAGTGTCAGGTTTGAAATGGCAGTTTGAAGTGGGTGTCTTTGAAGGACCTCACTATATTGCTGTAAAGGCTGTAAAGCATGCCACATTCACCCTCTGAAAGCAGCTCACCGGATGAGCCACAGCCTCTGTTGAAAGCACAGGACTAAGGCTGCGTGCGTGCACTTGTGTTTGTTTGTGCGCTAGTTTAAATTTGTGCATGCGCACACGCACTAAGCAGTCCTCTGCAATTATGTTGTTATTCCTAAGTATGAAATATTAGCTGCTGTTCATGTGCGCGCGCACAGACACACTCACACACACACACAGTCCCCCTTGCTAGTTGTGTTATTGGTGAAGATGAAATATTAGCTCTCTTCACCTTGGAAATGATCTTAACTGTTGAATGTATCATCCATCAGTGAGAAAGCAGTATAGATGGGTGCTGAGCTAATCAGTGCCTACATGACTAATTACCATTTTAGAAATGAGATGATATGAAACGGCAGGAGCCTGAACCCCTATCTGGTCATACACCAACCCATGCAATTAAATGGCTTGATTGACCCTTCGTTTTAATATTGCAGACTGAGACAGAGATGGCAGGTTAGACAAGCCTGTTATCATGGGATTCTCTAATAGGAGGACAAGGGGTGTTTCATTTCTAATGAATGAATAAAATGCAGGTGCAGAAAGAGGATTCAACTTTTCTCTTCTTGTACTTTCTGATGCTATTTGCATCTGACACTTTCTCTTGAGCAGTTTCCCCTTTTCTGTGCATCTTCACCCCATTTTTATCTTCCGATTTTCCTTTTCCTCCTTTTCCAGGGTGATAATTCAAAGCCTGTGGTATCCTTCATCGCTGGTCTAACTGCTCCTCCTGGCCGTAGAATGGGCCATGCTGGTGCCATCATCGCTGGCGGAAAGGGTGGAGCCAAAGAGAAGATTGCAGCCCTCCAGTCAGCTGGAGTTGTAGTCAGCATGTCCCCTGCTCAGTTGGGCAGCACTATGTTCAAGGTGAGTCACTTGGACCAGTAAATATTCAAAGGCTTAAAGATTAGTAATCATGAACAGTGATGGAAAGTACGGCTCCAATGTGTCAGTGGTTGATAACTGTCAGAAATGACTGCAGGCGACTTTAGATCAGTTGGGAACAGCAAGCTTTTTAGCTAGCAGTGCCATAAATAACAAATGCCCAGGTGGGTGTATTTGCATGGTTTTGTCATGGTGAAATTAAGCTTGATCCAGAGCTGGTATTTGTTAGAGTAACCCAATTTTGTCGCCTAAAAACAGAGTCTTGCTGAAAATGAAAGGTGAAAGTACATTGTCATGTTTTTGTGGTTGTAGTCTTTAAGAAGTTAGTTTATCAGTGTTGTCTCTAAGTTGCAATAAAGGGCAAAAACCACATCAATAGTTTGCCCGTGCACACACACACACACACACACACACACACACGTACACACACGTATACACACACACACGTATACACACACACACGTATACACACATTATATATACAAAAATTTCAAACCGAATTCTCTTGACTCTCTGGAGTTTTCTCTTTATCTATATCTCTATTTTTTAAATTGACCATGAATCCACATTTTAAACATTTTTCTACTGTTCTGTGTTTGCAAACTAGTTGGTTAATGAGAGTCTGTTTTAGAGAAAAAGCCATAGTTATTCTTTCTTTCTTTCTGTCTGTCTGTCTGTCTGTAGAAAAAAATTATCTGTCCGCATCTATTATCATTATCAGTATTATTCAGATTAAAAACTTTAAATGAAATGTATGATGAGTTCATAAATTATGATTCAGTGCTATATATTAAACTGCTAAACCATTGATCAACAAGTTCTGCTTCATCCACCTACAGCAGTAAAATGCTCAGGGAGTCCAGTGACGTACATTAACTTTTGCAAAAGGTTTATTTTGTGTAAGGAGCACTTTTCCTTTTTTTTTTTTTTTTAAAAAAAAAAACCAAAATCAAGAAAAATCCTAAAAAAAAAAAAAAAAAAAAAACTAGGGCTGCCAACGTTAACGTGTTAACGCCGTCATCGGGATTAAAATTTTTGGAGCGCATCTGGACCGCAGAACGGACAAACTTTGAATAAACTGCTCAAAATGTGTTGGCAGAGACATTCAGAGTCATTCTACGCTCCAGATGGGTTGATTGCGTTAAAAATTTTAATCTCGTTAATTGTGATGATGGCGTTTACCCGTTAGTGTTGACAGCCCTGAAAAAGAAAAAAAAATGTATCTATGGTAAGGGATATACTGTAATTTTGATCCCTCCTGAATTTTTAAGTTTGGTCACATAAAGAAATTATTATTGTGATAGCTTTGTTTTAATGGAGGGAGACAGAAAATCACTGCAAAATTATTTTTAATTAATTTTGCTTGTCATTGATTGAAATAAGTATTTGATGTGACTTAGTAGTTGGTGGAGAAACCCTTGTTGGAAAGCACAGTGGTAAGATGCTTTCTAAGGTGATCACCAGGTTTGCAAGATTACAGGAGGGATTTTGGTTCACCCCTCTTTACTGACACTCTCTAAATGATACTTGGCAGCTTGAATCTTCACAGTATTTCAATAGGACTGAGGTCTGGAGACTGGATAGGTTCCTCCATGACTTTAATGTGCTTCTTTAGGCACTCCTTTATTGGCGTCTTTGTTGTATATGATTTGGGACATTGTCATACTGGAAAACCCACGACTAGGTATGTGTGTAATTAGTCGACTAGCTGACGTTTAATCTAATTGGTAAAATTGAATTGATGGCTTATGTCGGTAAACTGTCTTAAATGTTATGCAACAGTCTGTCACCAAATGGCGCATTGTTGATGAGAAAGCCATCAATCTGTTAATCTAGCTTTCTCCGAAAGGTGGATGGTCTCTCCCTGAGCAATAGGGTGAAGAGTTCAGTGCTTTGCGAGGGGTTCAGAGTAGAACTGCTACTCCTCCACATCGAAGGGAGACGGCTGCTTCTTGGGTAAGGTTTTCCGGTCTGGGATATCCTACCGCGAGGAGGCCCTGGCTTAAACCAGTAGTCTTCTGCAGTCTTTTGACAGCTCTTTGGTCTCACCTGTGGTGGTGGAAAGGTTGGAATAGAAGGAAGAGATTCTGTGAACAAGTGTGATTTCTAAACATACTGAATTGTGATCAGGGGTATCTGTAATTCATTGGCATGTGTCCCCATGAGGCACACAAACTGCAATCCGTTGCTTTGGGAATTCTGGCTGGGTTTTAAATACTTTACCTACATACTGTACATGCATACATATATACAAATCTATTTGAATTTCATTGAGTGAAAAATGCATTTTTTTAATTGTTCTCTCTCTATTAAAACAAAACTGCCACAAAAATTAGAGACTATTAATGTCATGGGCGAAGTTACAAATTCAGCAGGTGATCCAATAAATAATTAATCCCCCCCATGTGTCTGTGTGTGGATCAGAGCTGATTGATAGTTAAATTTAACATATCGCATGATATGAAAATACTTATTGCTGGAATATCTAGTCATTGGTGGGAACGGTGTTAAAAATGCTTCGCTTTAAACAGAAGCAAGCAGAATTCTTATTAATTTAACTATAGTCCCAAACAATTTATGTCACACTTATGTTTTTTCAGATACATGCAATTTAAAAAATTAGGACAAGAAATGCATGGAAAGCAAAAAATTATGATATCTACCCCATGCATAAATATGTGGTTCATTGTTTAATGTAGAACTATAAAATATACTTGTTTGCATTTATTTTATTTTTAAAGTTTATGCAATGTATCAACTAATGAATAAACATATTTTAAGCATAATTACATGTAAGTAAAATTGTGATAATTCTTCTCTTTAGTTTGCAGACCAAAATATCTTGTGATCCTGGTATCTCTTATCACAGTTAATGTACTCATGTAAGGAGGTTTATTTAGTTATTTATCTCTTCTGAGTAGCAAAGGCTGAGATTGAACTTTTAATATGCTATAAAGAAAGGCAGAAGAGAAGGGCAGAAATTAATAAATGTGTGTTTACTGTGGCAGAGTTGCTGGCATTGCCTCTTTATTTCAGTTTATCTCTAGGGAAGAACTGTTAACAAGATGTATAAAAAGTGAAAGCATGTATTACACCCATTCATCATCTTATACTTTCATTACCACTGCTGGCACAACTGCACGCAGATATAGATTTACATGACTTTCTTTCCCAAAGTTTAATTCATAATCATTGTGTGTAATGATGAAAAACGTGCTGCGTGGTTGCTCATATTGCTGCACGTTGTGTTCATACATCTCTGTTAATCTCATTGACCGCCTTAATCGGAGTAATAACATGTAAGAGAAGAAAGTAGAAATAATGCTATCTCCGCAGGCAGGAACAACAACCGGGGAATTACTGTGTCAGCTGACCTGCATGAACCTGAACATCAGGAGTCCAAACGTGCATCTGCAGAAATCTATACATGCGTCATCAAATGCAATCAGATGTTATAACAGTATTTTGTGAGCTCGAGAAAACTTTGACATTTCAGAAGGGCCAAGGTTTCAGTAAAATCTCTAATTCCAGGTGTTAATAATAGTTTAACCTCTTAAACACCTTAATGGAACATGACTACTTTTTGTTCCCACACCAATCCTTGCACCATGTTCATCATAAGAATAATCAAGTTCAGACTGAGAGCTCACTTGTAAGTAGGACACAGTATACTAATAGTGCCTCCTTCTGTCATTCTGTGTGTAGCCATTTGAAAATTTAGTAAAAGTAAAAAAAAGAATATTAATAATAAAATGCAGCAGAATGAGGAATATTTATTCCTCGGGTGTAACTTTGGTCCTTTGTTGTCTAGTGCATGTTAGACAGGAAAATGAAACTGAACAAGGTGTACATCTTCAGCATCAAGCTGCACTAACGCACTGAATCAGCAGCTTTTTTTCTATCAGACGGGGGGCAACAGGATGAAGATTAGACAACGACCAGTTCATGGCTCATTTTTAACTAGATATAAAGTCATAGCCTTAAAAGATTTAAAGCCTGAAGTTTTCTCTTTTTTCCTGATATTTATTGTGGAATATTTTATTCATCTTTACAATTTGTTTGCTGCACCTTCTTTCCCACAGATCTCAGGATTGTGATCATCCTTTTAGTGTTTGTGCCATTTTTATTGTTTCAGCAGTGCTAGGACACCCTTTTTATTTCTTATTCAAGTTAACTAAAAACATTTTCTTTGCATGTACCGTATGCTTTTGTTACAGTACAACTTCTAAACTGTTGAATCTCCAAATAACATTAAACGCCCAAATTAAGGGGGAAAAGAAAATCTTATGTGCACCCCACTACAAAAAAAATCTTCAACAGAGCTGCATGGATGTGGTTTTTATCATGCAGTATTAGTTATAAGCAAACAACCTTACAAATGTCATGAGATTCCTTTGTTGCTGAACTATGTGTGTGACATCCATTTCAAAACAATCTCTGCCCACTGCAGACCAGCAAGAAATGCAAAAAATACAATAAGCTCCTGTAGGTTTCCACGTCCCACACAAAGCCAAAAATTAGTAGTAACACACTCGCAATGATAAACAAAGGCAAAATTTAGTTGCGCTGGGTGCAAGGAGAAGAAATCAGTAAACCTATATTTATCTGAGAACAACTTAATTTATATGCAAAGGAAGAATAATTATGACCTTTTACTTGTTTACAAAATCACAGTATTATCTTATCCCGCTGATAAAGCTGCAAAGGTTTATGGAGACACAAAAATATCGAATCTGGATTTTGTTTTTGTAATATATTTAAAAGTTAAAGCAGGCGTGCTGACCATATTTACAATGCCTGCTTTCTTCAAGTATCCGCGCCCAAGTGTCACAGCTGTCATTGCTCGCTTGTAAAAGTTTTGCTTTTCTTTCACATTACATGTCCGTCTGCTCTCCCCAGTTTCAATCCAGGCGTGTTCTCACCTGTCGCTTTTGAGTGGCAACCTCTACTTTGCTCATTTTTACTCCCCCTCTTGCTCTTGACTTGTCAACCATTAGACGCTGTCTCACAAAGAAGGCTTCTTTTTTTCTTCTTCCTTTTTTTTTCTCCTCCCCCTCCCTCACAGACGGCTCTGCTTTCTTACCTTAGTGCTATGATTCCTACCTTTTGAGTTAGTGTCTGTTGACACGGACCAACAAAGCATCTGTCTGCTTGTCACAAACACCCCCTCCTGTCTTTCTTGCCACTCTTTCCAACCCATTACCCTTTTTTTGTGTCCTCTAATTTTTTTTCTTTTTCTTTTTTTTTTTTTTTTTAGCCAAAAGCCTAACCTCCTCCCCTCTTCTAATTGTACCTCATCTGCAAAGCACAATCTTGGTGAACAAGATCATGGCTCCCCAGTTCCCTCCTCCCACTCCATCTAATTGTTGCTTTAAAGAATGCGCTTGCGTTGGCTACCGAGCATTTTACATTATTCAAACACAAGCCTGTTTCCTCCTGAAGGTGGCAGTAGACCTTCAGGTATCCAGACGCCACAGAGGAATAGGCCGACATGTGCATGACTACTTGTGTGTTCTGTAGACCTGATAAATGACTTTTGCATTAAGTTACTTTCCTCCTGTGGAATGGAAAATTCTCTGGGAACGACGTATTCTATCATCCTATGATTTGTGTGATATTTCCCAAATTGAATATGTAAATAGCAACATCCTTTTTAATGGCTAACATAATGCTTTCTCATTTATAGTCACATGGTTGGACCGTGCTGATAAACAGAACAACCATAACCACGCATAAATCAGATTTTTGCAGATGGGTAGTCCCTATCAATCAGAGGAAGTGTGCTGTTTTAATGCTGGCAACTGGAACTTAGTGAGATGTGAGTGCTACATGATTTGCACTCTCCAGGAAAAAAAACAAAAAAAAAAACAGGCACTCCACAGCTCTAGCCGCCTCTGTTTTCCCCCTTCAACAGCAGATCTGATACATGGGATCAAAACAGAGCTGAGTGAATTCTGCATGAATAAATCATTCACGTCTGTCTCACTTCATGTCACGTTGTTTCTTTTCTTCTTCCTCTGTGTTGTCCATCTCTGCAGGAGTTTGAGAAGAGGAAGATGTTGTAAATTGCGCAAGAAGGCAGCTGACCTCTTACCCCCTGCCTCGAAATTGAGATGAGCAGCCTGAGTCTGGAGGTGGATATGCCCCTACAGTGTCTGTAAACCCCGATTATTTCAACTACGATACGCACACGAAGTGTTTATATTGTAATTTCTGCCATGAACTCATACCTTGCACATAAATGGAAAGAATAAAACAGTGTTTTACTGGTATCCTAAAGAAACCATTGTACACTATGAAAAGCTTTATGGATGTTTTCCTTCTCCACACAATGTCGGCAGCTTACGGATCGACGCCACAGTGATCTGTTTCGTTCTGTTCTGCTGTTCCTGCTCTATGATGGATTTCATCACTAATTTCACTGGTTGCCCACCCGAATAACAAACATTTCTCATATCATTTTGTCAGCTGTGTCGCCTGTACTTTCACGTGGCATATGTAAGAAACAGATGTGGTCTCCTTGTAGAACGGCATTGCTGTCCCTAGATTTTTAGGCATCATTAAAGTAACTCGAGAAGTACAAATCATCACTTAAATGGGGATGCAGAAGGTGCAGGCAATGTGGTATAGATACAGAAACAACTGCCAGGTGAGCATTTATGACAAAAGTGCTTCTCTTGCAATGTTAATAAATCCCACTTCTGAAAACGCCTCATTTGACTGCCATTGTAAAGTCACTGCATCTGGTTTCAGTTTTGACTCATTCTTAAGGAGAAACGATGATTAGGCCAATTGATTATTTTGTTCAGAGATTAGAAGTCAAATTTACCACATTCAGTCATAAAGTCGAACACTAGTATTGACTAGTATCAGCTTGTCAGTGCCAATCTTTGAGGGAGAGCAGGAATTTCTGAGATTACAAAATAGACTAAGCTTTTGTTTCACCTTCCATTTTTACTCAACCTCTCTTTGTTGGAGCGTGAACTGCTCTGAGGTTTGTCGAGAGTCAGTACCACAAATATGTCCCTTGAATAAATTGTGAGCAAAGTGTCCTTTAAGTTCTTTGAAGCGTCATTTATCCTCAAGTCACTATTGAATGAAAGGACGTGAAGAGAGTGGAAGTCGTAATGTCACGTCTATCCAGGGATGGTCTCCACGAGTATCTGCAACTCAATGCAGTATCTAATGTAGCATTTCCTTTGTCAGTATTGAAAAATGAAGCCTGTCCTTGCGCTTGACTTTAAGACAACACAACACCCATAATCGTTAATCGAAAACCTTCAACAGATTTCTCTTCTCTCCGTTAGTTCGTGGGCACGACTCTTGCGTCGTGACATTTATCCACTGAACATCCAGAGGTTATGAGGAAAATTGTTGAGTGGAGGCATCTAAGCTGAAAAATATTAAATAAGTAAATAAAATGAACACTTAGCCAAGTGCACTGTGGGACATACTAATGAGGAACTTCAGTTCAGTGGTTGGATTTTTAGTTATTAGCATAACAAATTTCATTTGGGTTGTGTAATAGGTTTTCTTACCTCTGGAACAAAACGTAAAACTTTCAAAATGCATGATTATTTTTGAGGCTGCCGTTTTTCCCAAGCTTTCTACAACAGTCGTGTGTGGTTTTTGAGTTTTATCTAGCCATGGTAAAGTGAAGCTTTGCTCTGAATGCTAGTATTTTCTAAGACTGTATATTTGAGCAACATACAGCTTGTGTGAGCATTCACAGAAAACTTTCAGGTTTTTCTCTGATCAACACAAAGTCAACTTCCACAAAAAGTTGCAGGTTAAACCGACACCTCATTACTGAACACAAGGTGAGTGTGGAGCGGGTGAGAGAAAATGAAAGGGGAAGATAAGGTTACAGTTGGTTTTGTGCCCACAGAATCTATTTAAATTAACTCACTGGGAACAAAAGTGTGTAATGAAGCATATAAAGCCCTACACTGGACATCTTTACAGCCTATTCTTATCTGCTCCACAGCAGTCAGCCAAGGCAGATTATTATGTGTAAACATTGTTAACAATTACTTTTTAATCTGCATTAGTGAATTAACATAATGACTGACAGTGGCACAGAAAGCTTATTTGTTTAGAGGCTCAGAAGTTCCTTCTTGTACTTCTGCTGTGTTCTGCTTGTATGCAAGAACTAAATCGGGCCAAAGTTAACCCTTTAGTGCAGTTTAACTGCTCCGTCTTTAGGATTTACTCAACTTTATCACAAGTAACAGCAGGTTCAAAATTAAAATGAACTTACTTTGGGAGCTGGCTTGTTTTCATCTTGTTAGTCATACAAAGCCCTTAAGGTTAATTTCCTATGGAAGTTTTTCTAGTTTAGATGATAAACGTTGTTTACTATCTCCAGTCATACTCAGAAATTTGGACACAGCGGCGGCTGTGGCTCGGGAGGTAAAATGGATCTACTAATAACTAATCGAAAGATCAGTGAAGTATCTATGGGCAAGATATCGAAACCTAAGTTGTCCCCAATACATCCAGTGGAGTGTGAATTTGTGAATGTTAGATGAAAAGCACATTGGCATTGAAAAATGTGCTTGTAGAGTGTGTGTGTGTGTGTGTGTGTGTGTGTGTGTGTGTGTAAATAAATGGGTGAAAGGCTTGTAGTATAAAAGCACTTTGAGTACTCAGAGTAGAAAAGCACTATATTAATTTTTTATAAAGCGCCTTTCACAGACATGATCCCAATAATTTACATAATAAATCTATTGAAATTGGTTTGGAGTTCAGTGTGCTCGGTTCATTTTGAAAACATCTCAGGTTGTTTTTTTGGGTTTCTGTTTAGTTATCGGTGGACGTTGCTTTTACAACATAACATGCAACCTTTGACTCCACTAACAAAGCGGCGTTGATGACAGCTGCATTTGATGTCATTCTTTGGGTGGAGTAGCTGGACAGCCTGAGCTGACAATTTATTCCCTCAGACCAAAGAGTTAACTTTATTCATAAAGCTATAAATGGCTGAGTCAAGTCCAGCAACACACCTGCAGCAAAGTCCTCATTACCAAGAGAGTTCAGCTGACTTCAGCCGAGTCAATCGTCTGAGCTGAAGAAACAAGAATATTCCTCGGAGCAGGCAGCAGCCCTAATGAACTCAACAGGGTACTCTGCAAGTGCCCTTGTGCACGCTGTAACACCTTATAACTAATGTATGTGAGGAGAGGTTAGCAGCACCAAGGTGCCCAGCATGTAAATCAGTTATTTAATTAAACAGTTGCTAAAGGCACAGACCAGGTAAATCTTGTGTTGAGTTGTAAAGGCTTTTCCTTTAAAAGTATGCTCAGGGAAGCTAACCGGCAGTGTGTGTCGGGTCATTAACATTCCTATTGAAATGTGTCTGTGGCATGAGCTGCTACCTGCCAATTAGGATAACAGTGCTTAAATACCAAAAAAGCTGTGCAATCTGGAAGCGGTACAGGTGCAGGTTAGATTTGTTTTGTTTTGTAATTGCCCTGGTTTGTTGGCAGCGGTCTTCAATGAACTGCTAATCGGTTTAGTGTCACATATTGCTCCTTTCAGCCTGAAAGTGCCAGCGATCGTTATCAGATTGTTTTATTGATAACATTGAACGTACCTCCTGCAGTGTCAGGTTGGCGCAGTCTCCATTAAAGCATCGGAGAGCAGTAGTAGTATGGACCAGAAACGAAATCACGGGGCTTGGCAGTAGCAATTTGCATGAGGTGGTATTGTTTTAATAGAAGCACTAACTTGAGATTGCTTTGGGAATTGAGGGCAGGAATGAGGATAGAAGAGCGGATGTACAGGGATCTTGAAACAGAGCCCCATTCTTTCTTTCTTTTTTCTCCCCCAAGTCAGCAGCGGATTAGTTTCTTCTTCTGACAGAGGAAAGGCTTTATTTGTCTAGCTTATGAGGATATAAGGACAGAAAAACAATGTTTCATCTAGAGAGTGAACTGCAGATTTTTCTAAATAAACTCACATTTTTGGAGTTAGCTTTTAAATACTGTGCAAAAGTCACCCCATATTTTATAATATTTTCTTTTGAAAACAGGAATTTGGGTGTATACATGTATTGAAATATGCAAACATACATGGAAATGCAGTGCATAAGGGTACATAAGACAAAGATAGCTTTGCCGTACAACAAGCTTCTGCTGCTTCTTTTGGAGTCGCCACAGTGACCTCCTCAGAAGATGACTCATGTCTTCCTGTCACACCAACCCTCTGAATGTCCTCCTTCACTGCATCCATGAAGCTTGTCTGTGGTCTTCCTCTTTTCCTCCTATATTGAATTTTCTTATTCAACATCCTTTTTTCAGTATAACCACAAACCTCCTCTATACAAGTCCAAACCACCTCAGCCATAGCGCTCTAATTTTATCTCCAAAGATTTAAGTTGTCCTTCTGATAAACTCAATATTTTGGTATGACCAGCATTATTTTTCAGAACAGGCTAAACTCTCTTAGGCAGCTTTCTTGTCATTTCTTTAAGGAGTCTTTGGGAATAGTTGTCCAGGCATCTTGAAAGACATTCAAAGCTCTTCCTTGGATGTTTCTGCCTTTTGTTCTGTTTTCTGTGAACATAATCCTACACTGCATTAGTAATGTTGAGGTCCGTGCTTTGTGGAGGCCAATCCATGACTGATTGTGTTCCATTATGTGCTTTTCTATCCAGGTATGTTTTTACTGTATTGACAGTGAGGGGGAAAAAAACCCTGCATATGTATGTTTGATGGGATCAAGCTGTTGCCAATTTGATGCGTTCAGATGGTATTGCATGGTGGATCAAAATATGCATTCATAACTCCATCAATCATTTGTATTTCTTTGTATGTTTACCCAAATAAATGGGAAGAAATTATGTTATTTCAACAAGGACAAGGACCTTAGGATACAATTTAGGTTCTCTGGTATGTCTATCCCTTCAGTGATGTGTCATTAAAAAAATAAAATAATAATAATTCTTAACCAACAAACAAAAAATAGCATTTCTCTAAAAATGGTCAGGTATGGGGACTGGCCTGAAAATGATCAAAGATGAAAATGTTCAAAGACAAACTTTGAAAGACCTACAGAAAAGTACTATTAAAGACCTCTTTAAAAAATATAAGAAAGTCTGGCCCTTGAAAGCAAATATACAGTAATATGGGGTGCACCCAATAATTGGCTCAGTTATATGTTTGTAAATTAATACATTAGCTCGATAACAATAAACAGTATTAACATCTTACTAACAGATTATAACTTAACTTATTAAATGACATTAGGCTCAATTTCTAAATCTTTTTGTTTCAAACTGTCCCACAGTTTCAACCTCACAGGAAAGAAAACATGAGGATTTGGGAAAAGGCTAAATTAATTTACAGCCAGGTCCACTGGTGAACACGTAATGACTGTAATGGTGAGCTCACATGCTGGGTTATCATGTCCAACCAGTCAGTGCCGTGGCTCATCAGCATTCCTCCCAGTGGGAATGACCGCAGTGTGGGCTGATACTGAGAAGGGACTGGCTTTGATGTGCAGTGATACATTTTCATGATATCACCATGGGTGGCTTTTAATTTGCCTAAAGTGATGTTTGTTAAAAAAAATGGGAACAAGGCTGACACAAATAGGAATTCTAAAACACAGAATTAGATCTTGACAAGATCATTACAGTTCCTTTCACGTGTGTATTGGGAATAATTTAATGAATAATCTGCCTCCAACACAAGCCTATCTCATCATATTTTATTAATACAAACATTTTTTTTGGTCATTTCCTTCCTTCAATAGGCCAAAAAATCAGTAGCCTTTTAAAAAGCTGAATCATGTCGTTCAGCAGGCGAGATATTCCACTAAAACTGAAATAGAGTTAGCAGAACTTACAAAAGGATGTCTAATGTAAGTTCCTCTGATCGTTAAATGCTTATTTGACTTTCAGTTTACATGCTGCTTTGTTTGTCTGCAGCCGCAGGATGGAGGGATCTCTTCATAAGTCATGATTTGCAGCTCCCGGTGATGCCTCAGGATGTGAGATGCTGCGGTAGTTGAGGTGCTTTATAAAGTTTATCATCTTTGAGCTTAGATATAACCC